TCCAAAGTTCTTGAATAATGCGGATGTGCTTGTGTGTGTGTTTGCCAACACGTAACACATTACACTTTAAAAACAGCATTTAAATATACATCTATATATAGCCAATATAGAATCATTTAAATAATAGAAATTATATATAAAAAGTGCAAATTCAAATATAAGATACCCATATAAGGAATTTAGAAGGCAAAACATTTACATCAATTTACCCGAATACCTGTTGGCAGTCACGGAAGACTAGTGGGCAAAATTGATTTTAGCATTAGGCCCATGTTAGTCTTATAAGTCACCTTTTCACATTATTACATTTGTTTTTAACCAATGACGTTATTCTGATTGCAACATGACCCCAGTGGTGTAAGCAGGTCCCCAGACGCTACGACCCTTTAGGTAGGCCTATAAAGACGTCTATTTAAACGATTATAAGTAGTTTTCTAAAAATTAATAACATCTTTAAAAATAAATAATCTATTTCAATCTATTAGCCATCCCCTGCCGGGGATTTAGGGAGGACGGGGTCGAATGGTGTAGCCAGGGGCTGGGGTTTGGTTGAGTTAAACGATTATAATAATAATACGATTATTACAATTTTCAACTATTTTAAATATAATTTTTGCCCTAGTGGCCCACGGGCTACTTCAGTGCCAGGAACATTTTATATTCTTCTCGCTCGCCCCAACCTCCCTGACGGTACTGATTATTTATAAAATCTATAACTGTAACTATATCAAGCACCTTGACTTTATCTGCTTTGGAATTAAGCCAATTGACGTGAACAGATATATAGTAATACAGCATAGACAAACAGAAAGGGAAAACACAGCTGCATATAAATACATTATTAGATTATAGTTCCGGATTATCACATCTCAAAATATGATAAAAATATTTAGGCCCCCATAGTTATTAACTGTACTTCTTTTATACTGTTCACTCGCTTATACAAGGAACTTACTAAAACTATAAAAATGATTAGCAATTAATTATATTGTGGATTGGATTTATTCGGTGTGAACGCCAAAGATAACATAGGAAAGTCCGAAAACTTATTTCAAGTGGGGTCCTCCTGGTTAGTGATTGGGAGGTACATCGGGATTCGAGAGGCAATATCCTACACTTTTCCGAAATATGTATGTGTACTAATTGCACACGGGACCTAACAGCATAAACGGTGCGCTTTCGTATGCTTGCATTCCCCATCAAATTTTCCCAGTATTTGGGGAGTTAACATAACACGATATGTTTTTTGTTTTGTTTTTTTCTTTTAATTATTATATATCTTACAGAACAAAAAAAAAATGGGAATTTCATTTTCAATGCTTTCATCATTACAATGATATAAACTCGATTTCATTTTTATGGCCTCTTTGAATATTATTTGGATTTGCCTATACGAAAAAAGTACAGTGTTAGTATATTACACAATAATTTTTTAAGCATTTATGCTATAAACAAATCGCTGGCTACTCCCTCATTTATTAAAATGACATTGAACACCCTTCATAGTCGGTGAAAACAACTGGTTGTCACTAACTACTATATTTACAAACTTGGAACCTATTCAATCTACAGTCAAAACATAAAAACGGAGAAAACAGGCTAACAAGGTAACAAAAGAAAATGAGCAGAGCACGTAATATTCAATTAAAATATGTGTCTTTTATTGATACGAATAATCACAATAGCACACCGCACCTTTAACAGAACAAGAATTTAAACTAAAAAAAAGTCCTATTCAGAATATTAAATGTATTTGACAAAAACATGTGACATGCCTAAATATGGTCATGATGGCATCACATTAGGACAATATATAGGCACATCATGACTATATATGAGCATACAATTGGTTTTTGTCAAACCAAAGTAAAATTATTACATGCATCATTGGGTAGGGATGTTACCATGACTACGGCCATAATGACCTTCGGTGAAAACATCTAAAAAGTGTTAAATTTTCAATTACTCTGAAGTTCTCATTTAGATGGATCAAAAGTATTAAATTTATTCAGTTTTTGCTGAAGGGTGATAAAATTATAAGGAATAATATTATTATGGATCCCTTAAGTGTCAAAGGAAATATTTCTCGTTCTAATTATTTATTTAATTTAATTTGTTTAAATTTCTTTATTGTGAATACAAACATAATATTCAAGGATAAAAACACAATATAGTACCGAAAAAGGCAAACTTATTTCCAAAGTGGTCCAACAAATTAAATTAAATGCTGCAAATATACAAATTATATTAGAAATCAAATTATATAAATATATATAAATAAATATAAAATTATATAAATATATATATTTAAATATATATATATAAATATATATATATATATAAATATATATATATAAATTAT